TCGGGGCGGACCCCGGCTGGCGGGGCTCAGGCGGCCGCGGGCTTCTGCACCGGGACGTGTCCCGCCGAGAGCCATGGGCAACGAGGCGAGCTTGGAAGGGGAAGGGCTCCCCGAAGGGCTGGCGGCGGCCGCAGGCGGGGCTGGCGGCTCGGGGAGCGCCCTGCACCCCGGAATCCCAGCCGGCATGGAGGCGGACCTGAGCCAGCTGAGCGAGGAGGAGAGGAGACAGATCGCTGCTGTCATGTCAAGGGCGCAGGGGCTGCCCAAGGGAAGCGTCCCCGCGGCCGCTGCGGAGTCGCCTTCTATGCACAGGCACGCACAGCATGATGGAGAGGTCCAGACATATATATACCGCTTCCCGTGCACGTATGTGTGTGTGCCCGCGCGGTGGTACATATATGTCGCCTCCCTTCATTTTATTCTCCCTAATGGGGTGGCGATTAGGCGATCATAAGCTTTGGATGGGCGGAATAAAAATGATGCAGTGTAGAGTTTCTGGTGGGATAGTCATGGATTGCATTCTTGGAATTGTGATTTTAGGGTGTGATTTTTAAATTTTTTTTTAATGTTTGGCCTTTTGTAACCTTTTCCCTCTAGGGTGGTGTGGAGAGATGCCCTACAGTGTTTTACTAATCTGGAAATCTTCCATTAATACATCACAGACGTGTTGGAAAATGGATAGAGCTGGGTTGCGTGTTTACCTGTATGCTTAAACCTCCTTAGTGTTCTGAGGTCTTTTTCTCTGAAAATGATGTGTAAATATATCTGTAACAATACCCTTAAGCCCCTGGAGGTGACTGGTCCTCCATTCCCAACCTTTCCCCAGAGAACAGGAGCTGCCTAGGTAAAAGGCATAGAATAAATACACCTTTTATATTCTCTGAGAGGCCCTAAGATATTTTGTGACATTAAACAGATGGTTCGGTCACAGCAGAGCAGGTGCTGTACATGTATTTCAGAATTAGCATATGGTGGTTTTTTAAACCATTGCTCTGTTTTATGCAAAAATGACTTTCAGTTTATGGAAGATGGGAATTTGCATTACCTTGAGATTAGGTTTCAGTACACACTTAAAAATAGGATAAATAAATGACAATTTGCACAGGCAATTATAAAAGCTAATCTGTAATATTAACATATTCATTTCCTCTCCAGCTTTCCATTTCCCCCCTTTCTAATGAATGAGTTGTTTTCTAATTAGATACCAAGAGGGTATAATCATGCTTTCTCCGCCTTTATTATTGTAAACAAACCCTTTCACTTTACACCCTTCGGCAGAACAAATAGCTATCCATGGTCCTGAAACATCCTTTTACTACTTAACGGGACTTAACACGATCTTGACTTGAAGCATCAAAAGTATGAAAGAACTGGATGTATAGGTAAAGAATGTTCTACTTCATAAACTTAAAAAAATTCATCCTAGCTGCCAGCATGCTAATACAAATGCTGCTTTTGCCAGCTATCATAATAAACCTATCACAGGAGCGGTTTAAGTTTCTTAAGGGTAGTGATCTTGTAATTCTGAGATGTTGAACTCTGTCAGGTGAAAATCCCTATTTAATTTGAAAGAAACAACGGTAGTGTGAAAATTAGCCCCTAAATTTAAAAATCTTCTCTTGTTTAAAACTAGTAAAGGCTTGTCGCTTTTCTTTAATAATTTATAAGAGGAGCTGTTTTTCTCTGCTTGCTAAAATCCTGACTTTCAAAGGAAAAAGAAATGTTCACTTAGTGTGTCATTTTCAGATCACAGTGAGCAGCAGTGCTTTTCCTAGCCAGATCTATGATTTTTCCAGAGGGGCGCATGCAACAGGTCTAGCATGGTTGCAAATACAACCGAGATCATTGGTGTTTTACCTTTGCTTATGTACAACAAATGGCTGAAGGAAAATATCTATCAATATAACTGCTACTTTATGTTGTATGTGTATTACAGTATGCTTTCAGAGTTCCTCATTAGCAACCGAACACTTTGGCATTGTTAGTATTAGACGATTCCTGCCCCCAGTTACAATTGGTAAAGATTTGTAAAAGATATACAAGCATATTTTTTTTATATTTTTTCACACACATCTTTTGCCAAGGTATTTCTATAAAGTATACTTTTGGGAAAATATGCATATATATATATATATATAATATTGAGATATCCATTTGACCTTGTCATTTAGACTTTTAGGATCATGTTAATTAAATATACGTGCATATAAAGGTCCAGATTACTTCAGACTTTAAGGCTTTTAGAGATGTGCATTGGACATGGCAGAATTTATCTATCTGACTTTACTTTTGAGAAGTAAGGATTTTCAGCTCCATTACTCAGATTCTTACTGTATTGATTTTTTTGTGACTCATAGAAAATTAATATGCATTTCCCAACCCATGTGTGTCTCATGTTCCTGGATTCTAAAGGAGATAATAAAAACCTGTCTTACCTGTTTTAGGAAGTCATTCTGAGGATGACTCAAGTTCACAGGGACATTTTGCCAGATTTTTAATAAAAGGAGTGACAGATATAAGCATGATAATCTCAATGCCATCCCTAGAAAAGTCTCAGTTATGGCCCCACACAAGCTGTGGTCTTGTTTGCATCGTTAGAAATGCTAATAATACAAACTTTATTCCTTCACATGTGGATAAGTGAGAGTCCTCTTAGAAGTACCCCCATTAGGAGGCTGGAGGCCCAAGTTCCTTACCTAGTTTTATGACTTTGAATTTTTCTCTTAGCCTTTTAAATCCTATGTCCTCTCTACTTATAAAAGTGAATAGCTGTTGCTTAGGTATTTTTATTTCTGATATGGAATATTTTATGTGACTCAGCACTGTCAAATTAAGTGTCATTGACTGCTGTTGTGTTACATTTGAAAACATTTCATCATTCCAGCTGGTTCAGATTTTTATATTTGCATATGCCTGAAATATCATTTTATCCAAAACAGCGTCTCTACTAACTTATGAAAGAAAAGTTCTAATCTGGGAATAGCATTAGTAAAATGAAAAAAGGATGTGGAATTAAACACAAATAATTTAGGCTAGAATCACAATGAGGTTATGAACAAAATTTCTTCTTGACATTGATTCATTGTAGACTTAGTGAAAGACATTTTTATTTCTACTATTCTCTTGTTTCGTGAACATGGGATATGAGATGGCCTACTGCAAACTTTTGTGGCCGAAGATAAAAACTGTGAGTTGATGGTTTCCTTTAGTGCTCCTCTGAGCCTCCCCTACTGAGTAGCCATCTGCTCGGCATTTTTGTTTGTTTTTCCTTTACTATAGAACAATAGATCAAATCCAGGTTCTTTAGTGAATATGGGAAGTATACATTTAAAATCTTAGAAGACCCGTAGAAGACTTTGAAGGGAAAAGAACTCAAGAAACTTTAATCTAGAGTGAAGCAAGAACCTGCTGTGTTCCTCCATTGGTTTTCACATTGTGATCCATTCATTTATTCACCGATTAATGGAACATTAGTGTTTTTCTCCTACCTCCAGGCCTGATGCTGGCAATGAAAAGATAGGTGAATGTCCTCTCCTAGCTCGCAGTTCAGCGTAGAAGCAGAGATTGCCTTTTAGGTCATTCTTCAGTAGTGTGGCTGCTAGGGCAAACAGTTCACAAGATCGCTTTTTCTCAGGCAGCTCTACATTTTTGTTTGGCATAAAGTCGCTATCTTCATGCTTTTCTTTCTGTTTTCCTTTTTTACTTGAATTCTCATACTGATAACCATTAAAGCAAAGTTGGGATTTGGGGACAGTTTTTGTGGCCATGCATGTCTTTTCTGACAGTAAAACTTAATATTTCAGGGATATTTATGAGATTACAATGTATTATGATGTGTAGCACATGCAGCTTGTTTTCAATTTTGATGTTTTCTGTCACGACAAACATTTGGTATTTGTAAAGTTCTTTTTTTCACTTGCTATTATACATACTTTGGATTAAGTGAAGAAGCAGTGTCACAAGACACAGATTAAGATAACTTAATAGTATTTTCAGGAAATGACAATACAAATCAAGAATATATTTCCGTGGCCTTTGTTTAAAGATAACTTTCAAAGACCACATACAAAGGTTCAGTTTAGTGAAACTCCTAATAATTACTTATAATATAGTCACAAACTCTACCAAAGTCCTTTCAAGGGAGTTTTGCATTATATTAACTGAATGCAGAAACAATTTCAGAATAATGTCAAAATCTATACAGTGCATCTCTTTGGAAATAACCTATGTTCAGTTATTTATGGTGACTCTTCTGCCTTCTGATGGCGTTGGGGGGGTACAGCTGGGGTGTCCTACGAAGACACTGTTACATTATGTCCAAATGTAAATATGTAGCAATGACTTTTAAAAAAAAACACATCTCAGAGCTTTGAGTAATGACTCAAGAAATAGCCTTGGGTCTCTTTTAAAATGAAACCTTTGGAAACATTGTAAAATATTTTCTTATGTTACACTGGAGGAACCATCCCAAACTCTTCTATTATAGTTAGCATTGATAGTATGCAGTACTGGGATCCATAGAGCACTTTGGACAATCCATGCAGACACTGCACCAGTGAGCTATCATATTTAGTCACTTTCTTACATCATTTTATGCATATGCGCCAGTGGAAGCATATTTTCATTGAGTTTTTTCTACTAGCAATACTTTTCCGTTTCTTTTAACTCTCTCTTAGATCTCGATTCATACTGTAAGCATTCGGGAAGTCCTGAAGAGAATTATTAAATACCACAAAGTTGACCATGTGTGGCTGTGGCCCTAACTAGCCTGTTTTGACAAACTGAATTAAAGATGTAGACCTCTTTGGGGCCATCTTACGTTTCAGGTGCTCCCAAATCATGCGTTCTTTTTCCTTGTTTCTTTCAAACAGAAATATGCATTTTCCAAATATAAAGTGACATTAATGAAGCAAAACTCCTTATCTGTTTTTCTCCACTGCTATAGTGTGGAAGGACATTAGTGCCCTTTTGTTGCTGACAGGAATGGCTCATTCAAAATTTAACATACCTAATATGACAATGTATCTGTAAATATCTGTTTTAATTATTCAACTCACATCACTTAAAGCTTATCATATTTACAGGTTGTTTTAAAAAATTGTCACGTAAAGCTTCTCGTTACACCTGTCTAGCAATATCAGTGATAATAGATAAGATAATTAAATAATGTAACAATCACTAAATAGAGTTATCACATGTTTTCTTCGACTGAAGAAAGTAATAGCACTTTCCAAAAATGGGGCCATAGCTAGTTCCATGCTGCTTGGCTATCAGGCTGTATCTCAAGATACTTTAAGTCTCAGCTGTGATGCTGCATAAAAAAATCCACATTAATAATTAACTATTAGAACAGATAAAGTCATATTGGCCGTGCACAAGAAAGTTTATTTCTCAAAGAGGTTTAGTAATTAACATACAAATCTTTATAAGGTTTAATAAGAATAGTGTTTGATGAGTGTTACCATTCCAAGTAGAACAAAGCAAAATTGTGTAAAGCATTAGCTTTCTCAGTGTGCTAAAAAGGTGTCATCTATTGTCATTACTGCAGCTCACCTAAATATCACAGTGTGCCTTATGTAACTACGGATTATCAAAATTAAGTAAAAACAAAACTGGCAAGCTGTTATATTTTAAAACAACTTCTTAATTCTTCTTCTTAATTCTCTTTGTTTTTCCTTGATCATAAGTTTTGATCAAAAAGGAGACATAGTCATGTATGACATTACATGCTAGAGATAGTCAATATGACGTTACATTGGCAATGCAGTTTTACTTTTTAAACCTATATGTTATAGTCTATTAAGTATTTTTATCTAAGTTTGTATTGTTTATCCACATACGTTTTTGTCACCAACAAGCTGCTTTTGCTATACTACCTTGTTAAAATGTCTACCCATTCAAAAAAGTAACAGACTAGGAAAATTTTATGTTCCATCTAGATTGCAATGCAAATTGGGTCTTCATACGTTTGAGTTACAAGAAAACAATAACTTTAAATATTGATTTGATTTGAAATAACTTCCACTGTTTTCAATTTTCCAGGAAACAAGAGTTGGATAGTAGTCAGTCTCCTAAACAACCCGGAAAGCCCCCAGATCCTGGGCGACCGGCTCAGCCTGGACTCAGTAAAAGTAGAACTACAGACACGTTTAGATTGGAGCAGAAGTTGCCTGGAAGGAGTCCGTCTACTATTAGCTTGAAAGAATCAAAGTCCAGAACTGATTTTAAGGATGAGTACAAGCCTAGTTTGATGCCTGGTTTCTTCTCAGACGTTAACCCTTTAAGTGCTGTCTCCTCTGTAGTAAATAAATTCAACCCTTTTGATTTGATATCAGACTCTGAGGCATCCCAGGAGGAAACAACACGGAAACAAAAAGTTGCTCAGAAGGACCAAGGGAAATCGGAAGGAATCATAAAACCTCCCTTACAACAGCCCTCACCCAAGTCGGTTCCGAAACAGCAAGGGCCAGTGAAGGAAGTGATGCAGCAGGACCCCTCTCCCAAGTCAGCATCTTCCCAACAAGCAGAAAAAATGAAACCACAAGCCCCCAGCACAGGAAAGCCTTCCCCGGCATCTTCCCAGCCTCTGCAGACGGACCAGACAAAGCTGCCTATTGAAAGAGATGCAGTCAGGCCTCAGACTAAACCTTCAGAACCAGGAAAGCCTGCCCAGCAGAGCCCGGTCAAAACACCAGCTCAGCAAGCAAGTCCTGGGAAATCTGCAGCCCAACAACCCGGACCTGCAAAGGCAACAGTCCAGCAGCCAGGGCCAGCAAAGTCCCCAGCTCACCCAGCAGGGACAGTGAAGGCTCCAGTGCAACCTCCAGTGACATCCAAGCCGTCAGGGCAGCAGGCTGGAGTCGAGAAGACTTCATCTCAGCAGCCCGGGCCAAAGCCTTTAATGCAAGCTCCTGGCCTTGGAAAGATTCCACCAGGGCCGGTAAAGTCCCCGGCTCAGCAGCCAGGAACAGCAAAACTCCCAGCTCAACAAACTGGCCCACAGCCTCCAGCTAAGGTACCTGGGCCTACAAAGACTCCTCCAACTCAGCAATCTGGACCTGGGAAGACACCAGCTCAACAGCCAGGCCCAGCAAAGTCTTCACCTCAGCAACCGGTTCCAGCAAAGCCTCAGCCTCAGCCTCAGCAGCCTACCCCAGTGAAACCCCAGCCTCAGCAGCCAGCTCCTACAAAGCCTCCACAACAGACCACTCCAGCAAAGCCCCAGCCTCAGCAGCCCACCCCAGCAAAGCCCCAGCC